AAGAAATAATAGTTATAGGGTAGGGCAAAAGTGGGTTTACAGTTGTATGTGAAACACAAAGATTTTTCTTGTATTATTATTTATTAATTATTCTATTATTTTCTATATGAACAACTGTAAATTTACTTTTGCCCCATCCTGTATGTGACATAATAGAAGTTTTAATAATAACTATAATTGCAGTCAAATTACAATATAAAACTGTATCAACTCACTATGTTGTATGCCTTAAATTTATATAATGTCATATGTCAAATATTTTTCAAGTTAAAAAAATTGTTTTATGCTTATAGAGATAAGATATAGCCTTTACCGTCTAGGAGCTTACAAATAGAGGAAATCCAGTACACGTAATATAAAAAAGAAGATGAAATTAAAAAAAAAAACCTACTGTGAAGGCAGCATGCTGAATGTCTAAGTTTGACTTTGGGGGATTTAGGGATGTCTTCCAGAAAAGGCAGTCCTCACAGTAAGCCTTGAAAGATGAAGTCTGATAACAAGAAAAAGTGAAGGAAGTTGAGAATCAGTAAGTAGGCCAGGATCTGATGATGAAGACACCAGTCAGCAATCTTAAGAAATCTGGATGAAAAAGTTTATAGGCACTGGAGGGAACCATTCCAAGTTATTTTTTAGAAGAGGAGGTATTTTATTTTATCTGAGTTTTAGATCATTCTCGGCAGCTCTAGGGAGGATGGGTTGGAAAAAGCAAAAGCCAGAGCCAAGACTAGTTAGGAGGTCGTATGACAGTAAAGATGAAACCAAATGAAGGACTGTTTAATCTAATTGCCTGTCTCTTAACTAAAATGTAGGCTCCATGAAGGTAAGGCCTTAGTTTTGTTCCTGCTATATCCCCAGCACTCAGAATAGTGCCTGACATAAATAGTACACAAAATATTTGTTCACTAAATTAAGAAATCCGTGTAAGAATATATGAATGAATGAAATAAAACAATGCAAGTGCAGGAAAAATGTCAGAAAGAGACATTTGCCTCAGAGATGGATTCTCTTTGTCTGTTGACACCGTGCCGTAGATGGGTCCTTTTTGAGTGCTGGCAGCAGATGAAGGCTGTTGGAGAACCTCCCAGCTTCGCCTGTCTGTGCTCTTCACAGCATCTGTGGCATCTGCCCCTCCATGCCCATCATCTTCCCACCATCTAGAATGGAGGTTGGCAAACTATGGCTCCTGGACCAATCGGGTCCTGCCACCTGTTTTTTTTTGTGGGGGGGGTGCTTATAAACAGAGAATGAAAGTGGTCGGGGTGGGGAAGCAAAAGAGGAATAATGCTTCTTTGTAAAATACATGAAAATTACACAAAATTACAATTTCAGTGAAAATTACATGAAATCTCATTAAGTTTTATTGCAACACAGCCATGCTCATGTGTTTACATTATGGTCAATGACTATTTTGACCCTGAAGCGGAGGCGCTGAGTAGTTGAGACAGAGTCTATATGGCTGCATAATCAAATACGTTTACGTTTTGGTCCTTTACAGGAGAAGTTTGCCAACCTCTAATCTAGAGGAGCTCTCAGAAAAGGAAATGAAGCTTACACACAATAATGAGTAAATCTTTCATTAGTGAAATCTCCTAAAATATGTATATTTTAAAATTTAATAGGTGAGACAAAGCATCAAATTAAAAAATACCAACAGGAAAGGGGAAAAGATACTACTAATAATATTAGCTGTATATCATGTGCCAGGTTCTCAACTAAGCAATTCTTTAAATAAAATTTTCTCCTTTCCTTCTGACAAAGCTGCAAGACAGGCATCACTTTTCCCATTTTACAGAGAAGGAACCTAAAATTCAGGAGCTGGATAATTTTTCCCTTGATCACAAAGCCAACACAAGACAAAGCCAGCATTTGAACCCACAATAGTTTACCTTCAAAACCACATTCTTAACTGTAACTTTAGAATTTCAGACACTAATGAACAAGTAATGTTGGGCATGCACACAGGGGAGAGGAGAAGTAGGATCTTCCTACCGTCCTTGAAACTGCAGTTTTTCCAGGGCAGGAAGGTGGAAGGATGTGGAACCATGAAGCCTGGCGCCCATTTTAATGGAAGCACATCCCCTTCCCAGCTATCATGGCACGTGAGGCATTAGGGCTGATTGAGCAGCGCTGGGCATTTCTATTTAAGCATTACAGCTGCAGATGATCCCACCAGAGTTGGTGCTTGGACATGAAAGAGAACTCCAGAGAAGATGAGCAGGCGATGGTTTTATTAACCCAGCAGCTGTTGGCAAAATGAGGGCTAGAGTTTTCGGGAAGAGGATGAAAGATCCAACAATAGTTGCCATAGGGTGAAAAACCAAAAAACAAACAAACAAACAAAAACTAAGAACACACCAAGGGGTATAACAATAGTAGTAGAACAGAGATAATTGTTAAAGGAAAAATAAAGAGAACATAGACTGAACATGAATGGGAAGTTTTACTTTTAAGCAGGGAATCAGATCCAGCATAGAGTCTGGGCGCTGAGGATGAGGTTTGGGAGAGGGAAGGCGGGCCATTTAAAGCCAAACACCCAGGGAACTGTCTCATGAGGCAAACCACATTTCTGCGTGTTGCTGGCCGGGTAGTGATATGTGAGTCTTTCAGTTAGGTGACGCTGGGCTGGCCATAGACCTGCCGTGAATGTGGGGCCCACCTCAGCCCCCGGCCTCCAGCTACCTTTGCAGCACAGGCAGATGCCTGAGTCGGTTGCATGGCCGGTGCAGGGTCTTCCCAGGGATCTCCTACGTCATGCTCATCGCATCACTTTCTTTCTAAAGTGCAGATGAAGAAGCGATGGTCTAGAAAAGTCCAGTGACTTGACTAAAACCATGGAGAACTTTGATTGGAGCCACCCCAAAATCCCACCCCTGACACACACTTTTGGCTGGCATAGTGTGTGCGGTTTTCACTTTACACTAAAGCTCAGTGCTTTTAACTTAGCTGTCAAGGAACGGCTCTCTTAAAAAACTTACTGCAGTCCACAGAGTGGACTAACTAAGGAAATAACTGTGTATCTGCTCTAATACTTGTAACAGAATCTGATGATGACAAAATTTTAATAATAACAGAAATATTACACACAGGATCAATATTTCCCCAAATCTGTTGTTGTCTGTAAAATTCACACACATGACCCCATGACCCAGTAGAGAAAAATGTGGCATGTTTAAATATTTGAAAAACTGTAGATGACATAAATGTAAACAGATTTATTTACCATGGGATTTCTCAAAAGTTTTAATATACTTTCATATTCTGGGAATATCTGAAAGACAAATGTAGCAAACAGTGTTTCCAAACATATTTGACTATGCAGCACCCACAGCCATGCCCCTACCCCCGCACACATACATTTTTAGGTACACTCATGGGAGCAGCGTTTGATGAAACATTTCGAAAAGTACTGGCCTAAACATACACAAATCCCAGCCAGACTAACACAGTTTTTTCTGTATTTCTTCCTGTTTAGAGGAGATTGCAAAAATTTCCTTAAGACAAGAGTTTTGTAGGGGCAACCTCAACACCTGTCATATTGAGAGAGAAAAGAGATTTTCATGCTCTGGTCATTCTATACTTTACCAAAGTAACGATGCACAAGTGAATACCTGAAGCAAATAAAATCGAAGCCACGATGTGTTCATCAAGGGAAATGAGCCACAGTGAATACTCAATGCATCATGGGGAGCAATGAAGACTAGGAAGCTGTGGAAACATCTGCCAAAATCATGTGCATGAAGAACAATTTCTCATGCTTTCGACCTCTGTGGAAAGCGTAGATCACTTTTCCAAGCACAGACTTGTTACTGCATTGTCCATGCCACCGGAGTACCCGGACAGAGCCCTGGTGCAGCTGTGCTCTCTGCAAACACTGAGCTCCCTGATCCACAGGCCAGCAGGGGCCCAGGGGACAGACCACGTGACCAAAGAAGCTTCTGACTCTGAGGTTTTTGGTCCATTTTAATAATGGGCATGAAGTTCTTCCTTTGGTCTATAGCATCTCATTGTCTGTTTTTAGTCAGCACCATTCTTCCCAAAAGTCTTAGCTCCCTTTTATATTTGCACATCATTAGTTTTCAACAACCAGTTTATTTCAGTGATCTTTCCCCAGACCTCCTCTTATTTGTGCATGTTTCACCCACTTCATAATTCATTGATTGCTTCTTGTTTAATGTCTTACATTTAAAATACCAATTAAATACCCTTGCTTCTATCATTACCTGTTATGAGCTGTCCTTATCACCAGAAAGTCTTCTCTATTTTCCAATTTCTTCTGATATATTTGGGGAATTTTCTAATTCTTATTTCACATTTTCTCTATTTACATGAAACACCCCCATGTCTGAAGGCCTACATCTTGCACAGGTGACATCGGTGAGCATTTTTAATGAATAAAATACATCTGTAGTAAGCTGACTATAAACAAAGCAGTTCAGTGGGGCAATTAAAGGCTCAGTTTGTGGGACAGACTGTCAGGGAATGACGAGCTCATTAGCTGTAACTCTGGACAAGTAACCAATCTTTCTGTGCCTCATTTCCCCACCTACAAACTGGGGAAAATATATTACCTATCTCTTGGTTATTGTGAGGATTAATTGAATTAACATATATAAACGGCTTATAAGAGCACCTAGAACACAGTAAATGCCATGTAATTATTAGCTGTTATTATTTCTACCATTTAAACTAACAAAAGCATCTTTGCTCTGGCTATGTGACTCAATTGGTTGGAGGGTTGTCTCATTCACCAAAAGCATGCGTGTTCAATCCTAGGTCAGGGCCCTTACCAGGGTTGTGGGTTCGATCCCCAGCCAGGGCACGTACAGGAGGCAACCAATCAGTGTTTCTGTCACTGGATGTTTCTCTCTCTCCCCCTCTCTAAAATCAATAAACATATCCTTAGGTGAGGATTAAAATTAATTAATTAATTAAATAACAAAAGCATCTTCAAATAAAGTGTGGAGATTTTTTTTTTAAAGTATTTTCTCTGTCTTTTGAAGGCCCAGATTATAGAAAGGATCATTTACCTAAAATTCAACTGCACACCTCGTATATAGGAGAGAAGCGTCCAGCATTGGAGAAAACTGGAGATCTCAGATATTTATGGAGGCCTGCCTCACACATAAGCTTACCAGCAAAATACAAACACGAGTATGTTGGTGAAGTTGGCTGGGGGATACCGGAGTATGATTTTATCAACAAAACAAGGCTTGAGAGTGGCTTTCATATCAAGGTATTGCTCTTAAATTTATGTTCTTCATAGTATACTGTTGTATGATTGGAGTCTTCCTGGTTTGGATTCTTCCCGAGTTTGCTTCCATAGGAAACATCATGTTCCTATGGAAACACCATGTTCTTGTTCTGTCATGGGGAAATAATGGCATTTGAGTTTTGCAGAAAAGTAAATGTGTGGAGAAATTTACTTGCTACCGCCCTTCCCGTTTAGGCCCCGTAATCTGCGACAGGAGCGGTGTGAAGAAAACCAAGCCACGGGTAACGTGAAAGCATCGGTGTTTGGCTTGGGGATGCGTTCAATCCACATTTATGCTGCGACGTCCACGCCCGGCCCCCTGCCGGCACGGCTCTGCGAGTGGGTGGTGTGAAAGCGGGCTGTGCTGGGTGGGCAGCGCCCACAGAGCTAACAAACAAGCCCCGGGTCTCTAAAATCCACCATGCGGACAGTGCCTCTGAATCGGGTAACCCGGCGGGTCCTTAGAAACCTTGTCTCCCTTCTCTCGGTGATGCGCATGCTGGATGAGACCCTGCAGGTGCCTCTGTCACGGAAGGCAGCACAGGTGATTTTAGAAGTAAGATCTGAGAATTCAAACTTTATTCCAGGCAGGCCTTTGCATTCTCTGAAAATGGAATGTGTGTCAATTATGCACTAACTGATTTCCTTGAATCTTAAGGCAAGGTAGTACAGCCTCACTCGGTAAAGGTTAACAAAAGGAAAAGCCTTTTTCTGGCCCAATCTGTACAACAGCACAGGGAAGTAATTGAGAGCTCAGTCTCTGACATCGGACAGACCTGGGTTCCAACCCTGGCTCGGAGGTTGGTCTGCCTCTGTGACCCTGGGCTGGGAAATTCACATGTCTCCACTCCCTCCTCTTTCCCATGGAAGGGTGTATTAGGTTCCCTTCCTAAAATCTCTGAATTCCTTTCCTAGTTCTGCCACCTACTAGCTGAGAGTGGCCGTAGGCAATTTCCTTAACCTCGGGGGCTTCAGTTTCTTGATGACATATCTTGGTATTTGCCATATTGGGCTGTTGTGAACATTAAACAAATTAGTATTTGCAAAAGTGCTGGGAATGGGGCCTGGCACATATCAAGCACCCTATGTGTTTACCGTTATTATTCTGTTGTGAGGACTAAATATGAGAATGCAAGGAAAGCACTAAGCATGATGCGTTGCACATGGTTGATATCCAAATTTCAGCTCTCAACACGGTGCTCGTGTCGGTTATCAGTACTGTGGTTGTGGTTAGTGTCACTTTGTGCCAATGAAGCGGAATGAATGCTCAGGTTCTTCAACTGTGCCTTGTTCCACTTAGGCACTAAAGATGAAGATCAGAAATTTGATTAAATATCAAAACCGGCCACCAGCAGGGAGAGTACAGCCCCAGAGCAAGGCAGCTGGTTTGAAAGGAGGCCAGAACTTGCGTTGCCTTGTGGCTTCTCTGTGGCCGATGCCCTGCTGCGGTACAAAGTCCTCAATCTGTCTGCCCATCTTGAGTGCTTATAGCATCTCTTCCTTCTTTGACTTTAACTGAAAAACACAGTTTCTGCTCAAATGAAAGGTCTTTGAATCCAAAAGGGATGTCAGCCACAACTTCGCCGTCCACGAAGGTATTTATCCTATTTCTTTCATTCCTATTTCACAGGTGGCTTTAAGTCACTGCTCTGCTTGGCAACTCTGTCCTCTTAACCCCCGTGGGACAGAGTGTGAGCCATACAGTGATTTTCTCTCCCAACTCATGGCACGCACAGAAGCTGGTCTGGCTTGACACAGCTGGAGGGGCTGCTGTTTCTCATCTGTGCACTTTCTTGGCTGTGCCATTTTGATAATGATATTTTCAAGGATTTACCTGTCGGGTAACAATCTCGAACAATATCTTCAAGGGTTTCTTGGACTTAGAACTTTATAATGAGAACAAAAAGATTCACTGAGAATGACTACGCATATTAGCAAAGAATCAGACATAATTTTCCCATGTGAAGGCCTGGGCTTTGTCATGGAAGCTGCTGATCTTCTCGGTACCCCATATATGGCAGATGGCGATATCTGTGCTTCGGTCTAGCCTCAGACTAGAATTCCTTATCAACCCAGTGCTTTACGCAGCTACCCCATGTCAGACTTGGCTTGAATTGATGTTTGAGCTGACATGTGCGTGCGCGTGCGCGCGCGCACACACACACACACACACACACTCCATGCATAAAAACAAACTCCTAATTACAAGCAACATATGAGAGGAGCTGGTAAACTCCCTCCTGTGAGGTCAGTTAATGAAATGTCTCAGTCCACGTCCTGTTCTCTCTCCGGTTCCCTGTCATTAGTGGACCTCTATCACACCTTCCACCATCTGTATCCTTAATAGTCCCGGTCAAGACAGCACTTGGTTTCAGTCTAACCTCAGAGACATCTCAGTGTCTCTCGCTGCAATTGCTGGAACTTTGATTTTGAGCACAAACCTTTACCTAGTGGATTTTTATAGACCGCACAGACACTTTTCCTAATTTACTGCCCCAGGTTTGCATGAGGCTGGCAGCTAAGGGAGCTCAGGCCTCTCCAGTAGACAAATGGTAGAAGGCCTGGAGCAGCTGCTTCCTACCTGGGATGGTCTCTCCTATTTGGGGCCTTGGGAGGGGATCCGTAGATCATCTGGATTCGGGTAGAAAAATAATAACTTCCAGGTTGAGTGACATGTGAAAGATTTCCGCACATAGCAAAGGTCAGTACAAATCACAATATCGGGTTTCTCTTCTAGATCTTTTTGTGTTTAGCTATTTCCTATTCACTCATATGTGGGTTACAATGCCATAATGATATATGTGGATATATGCCAGGAAACATCACTGCTTTTGTTATTATCTCGATTTAAGAACGGTACATTCTTTTTTAAAATGGATTTGGTCTCTGCCAAACTTTATGTGTTGTTTCTGGAAGAATATATGGAGACCGTTAAAACAATTCCTTTGGTTTCAACCGCATGCTAAACTGAGGACAAATTCTGACTGCTGCTTAGCTGGGCATGTCTCCTCTTTGCTGGCCTTTCTTTACTCCAGATCTGGACAGTATCAGCTGGCTTCCTCATGCCCACTTTCTGCTTCTGCACTCTGACCTGGTGACCAGAAGATGGAAGTCATTCGATTTTCCCTCAGAAACAATGTTATCCTGGACTTGATGACTAACTTTTCATAGGTGTGAGCCCAAGAAAATACTGTCAATTAATCATAACATATATTACAACCGCTGTATCATCATACAGTATAATAACTTGAAAAACCTACAGATGGTATTAAGGAGAGCTATGGGAACCTATAAATATATTTATATGTAGAATAGTATAATATAATAAAAGTAAAATCTTTGAGGCTTTGAAACTTCTGCCTCACTTATAATTGGGTACAAGTTCCATTGTTACAACACACAGAGGGCTTGTTTGTGACAGTTTTATGGACATTTGAACAGACTTCTGATGAGACATTGAGTCTCTTGATGGCTGTTGAATAAATGGACCCACATTTGGTTTTTTCAGCATTTTCTCACTGTGATTTATATAGAGAGAGTAAACATAAAAGAGCTCCCATTGACTGAGCACTTACTATGTGAGGAAGGTACTCAGATTATTTCCACTTTACAGATGAGGAAACTGAGGTATTAATGGGTGAGGTTCCTTGCCTGAGACCACAGAGGTGGTAAATGTTGGAGCCAGGAATTTAACCCAGGCTGTGAATTCAGGACTTAGAAGGAGTGCAGTGTGTGTGAGACAGAAAGGAAGTCAGAATGTCTTGTTATCGTTTATCTTTAAGGCCAGGTCTGGCTGGGGCTGGTTCCAGTTGCCTCCTCTAATAAGGTATGCATCCTTTCTTCACGGTCCCCTCAATTTTCTCCCAGCTTCCCAGTCTGCATTCCTTGCTCACAGTATGTTTCATTTATAATATTAAAATGAATTCCTAGTAGTTATCATCCACATATTTGACATAATAAGAGGTAGCTTAGTAAGAGTTATTTTTAAAAATTTATATTTAATAAAGACTTTATAGTGTTTCAAAATAGATGATTAAATATAATCTTTGGCATTATGGGAAAAAAACAGAGAAGACAGTGAGGACTTCTACCAAAACTTACTGTCTTTCCTCATCCCGGCCTGACCCTGTGTGTCCTTCCAAACTGTTCACCTTCACATGACTGTGTCCAGGAAAATTTTCAAATTCACCTGGAAAAAAAAGAAATATTGCCAGTGTGGAGTTGATTAGTATGTAGACCACTGATCACATATTTCAGAACTTCTGGCTGTCTTTTACCCTTTCTTATTTACCTTTGGGTTCATTTGGATGAATCACAGTCACCAATATTGAGCCTCACACCCCTAGTCTCCAGGTAGTGTAATCAATACAAAAAAAAGTTTCAAAGATAATAAAGCTTCCTTTTTCAACCAAGTTATACAAGCGATATAAAAAAAATAGCCTTTCTAAAATTAGACATGTCTTTGGGTTGTTGCTGTTCCTCCCCAGGTGGGTATGTGTTCAGTTCTCACTTCATACTTATCAGAGTTATTTGCATTCTAACGGTTTGTGGTTTAATATAAAAATAAATAATTAGCACCTTTTGTCCTGAAGTGCTGTATGTACATTTTCTGATACCGCCGGAAGCCTTCAGTAATGGAATGCCACATGCTGACCATGTGTGAGGGAGGAGAAACATTGGCTAAAGAGGACAAATAATCTTCCTCCTTCTTGTAAATAATGTATCAATACCTTTAAGCTCCTTATCCACAGATGTTATATTGTTCCCTTTTCACAAAACTTGGCTCTATAAGATTCCTCAAATAAATAGAAGGAAGTAATTTCCTTATAAAGTTTTACTTGTCTCTGAACTTCTGTGAATAAATTTTACGGCTGATGCTTCCTTTCTCTAACAGACCATGTAGCGACGAGGGAGGCATACATCACTGCTGTGTGCTCCCTGCACTGTGTTCAAAGCAGCTCCGTGGAGAGTAATGTGTTTGG